TGTCTCCTATGGAGCAGTAGCAGGTGCGTTCGAAACACATTTTGGTAGCACAACTTCTTATCCCTAGACACCAGACCATTTTCCAGCATATTCATCATTATGATATTTGAATCTATGAGTACTGGCATTCCAGGTAATTGCAGCCATTTTAATTTAGAGCCTATGGAATTGAGAAATGTAAATATGTGTAGGTGGAATTCAAGAGAAAGTCCTGTGTTATTGGGTTAAAAATAAGAGAGATTTTAAAATTATGAGACCAGTATGGCAAGAAGCAGGAACATGGGTAAATTACTGTAATATTATAAATATTTCTTTGAGTATTTAGTAAAAGTCAGCATGTTTATTATTTACTGGCCATTTATATTACTTATAATTAATTTTCTATATATATACTTAAGGGTAGTATAATATGTCAATTTATAGAGTGTTTTAAAAATTAATCAAGCTTTTAAAATATAATGAAATATAATTTTTATTTTACGCATGCATTTTTTATTTAGACAACGTTTTAGTACATAGTTGTGTGTGATTCACGTACACTTCACTTACCAACTTTAGATTCCGAAAACAATGTTGTTATGGAGAAATTGGCATTACAGGACACCAGAAAATAATTATGTTAGATCACAAAATGAAGGATAACTAAATAGTTATGTAACTGCCAAATTACATTTCCTAACTGATAATCATGCCCCAGCCAAGTTGACACCTAACTGTAACCATTTTAACCAGCATTAATTTCATCTCAAAACTTAGCATTGATTGCGACAAGACATATTTTATTGATATGCAAGAGAGAAGGTTAATTTTTTTGCTATTGTTGTAAATGCAAAAGTGTTAGTGTGATATACATACATGAGGAAATGGTCTATTTGTTTACAGGCATTAATCCATTTTTTCCATCTCTTTCTAGACCATTTTGGGAACATCCCACTGGATATACTAGCAACCTTGACTTTTGTTATCTCACCTCCTTTGTTTTCTCTGCTGGCATGCCTTTCTCCACCTTCCACACTGTCATAAATCTTCCTTTTTCTTAAAAGTGTAGATAGTTTGACATCTCCATCATAAAGTCAGTCTATTCTCTTCAATAACATTTGACCTCTGTTTCCTAGAAAATCTCATTCAATATACTTGTTGTTTGTTGTTGTTATATGCCATCAAGTTGTCTGCAACTCATAGTGACTCTGTGTACAACAGCCCTAGATCCTGCTCTGCCCTGTGTCAATCTTATTGTCTCTGACAAACCTACCCTCTTTACACCAGCCACTGAGTCAATCCATCTCATCGAGGGTCTTCCTTTCTTGCACTGTCCCTCCACTCTCCCAGTCATGATGTCCCTCTCCAAGGACTGGTTCCTCCTTGCAACATGTCAAAAATATGTCAGATGAAGCTTCATAATCCTTGCCTCCAAGGAGCAGCCTGTTCTCACTTTCCCTAGGATAAACCTGTTTGTTCTCCTAGCAGTCCTTGGTATATTCAGTACTTTTATCCAGCATCACAGCTTCAAGGTATCAACTCTCCTTTTATCATATCTAGTTGTTGTCCAGCTTTCTGATGCATAGCAAGTAATTTCAAAGACTATGGCCAGAACTTTGGAGAGGTCTCTGACAGCAGACTTTCCCAGTGCAATTTGTCTTTTAATTTATTGTATTCTTCAATATAATATGTATTCCTATTTAATCCCTAAATTGTTCTGTTGCATATTTATGAACATTAGATCTTTAATGATCTTTTATTTGTCATTATAGTTCCCTAAATTTGTATGTCCATAAATATTTCTTAGCTTTATTGAATTCAGTGCTATATTATGCTACTGATGTGGTTCTGATTTTGAATTATCATATTCTTTTTAAAATTTATTATTATTATTATTCATTTTAATGGAAGTTTACAGAGACTGAGGATTTCCATTCATTCGTTGTTGCACTTTTCTTTCTGCCTAACCCTCCATCCCTCCAATTTGCTCTTCTCTTTGAAAAGTAAAAGAAAAAGTATTTCATTGTTATACAATCCCTCCTCACAAGTGCACTCCACTATGCAGCCTTCATTCCGGACTCCTGTCATGACAATAATACCTAATCACATATCCCTTTTAAACAGTTTTCTTCCTAATCTGTTTCAATGCAGTATACATAATTTATCCCATCTTTCTCAGTCTCCCCCTAACCCTGATGTCAATCCTGTTTTACAATAGTGGCACTATGCAATACTTGTCCTTTTGTGACTGAGCTACTTCACTCAGCATAATGTCCTCCAAGGTCACCCATTTTTAATAATATTGCATGGGTTCCTTGTTTTCCAATGAAGCATAGCATTCCATTGTGTGAATATACCACAGCTTCTCTATCCATTCATTTGTTGATGGGCACCTGGGCTGTTTTCAACTCCTTGCTATTGTGAATAAAGCTGCAGTAAACATGGGTGTGCATATATCTGCTTGGATGTCAGTTATGGTCTCTTTGGGGTATATTCCCAGTAGTGGAATTGCTTGGTCAAATGGTATCTCTGTTTGCAACTTTTTGAGAAAGCGCCATACCGCCTTCCACAGTGGTTGCACCATTTTACACTTCCACCAACAGTGAATAAGGTTTCCATTTCTCCACAACTTCGCCAGCATTTGTTGCTTGCTGTTCTGTTAAATTTTGCTATTCTGACTGCGGGGGTGGGGGGGAGGAGAGGGGGGTGGTATCTCATAGTTGTTTTGATTTGCATCTGTCTTAGAGCTAGGGATTTTGAACATTTCTTCATGTGCTTGTTAGCCATGTGAAAGTCTTCTTTGGTGAAGTGTCTTCATATCCTGTGCCCATTTTTCAACTGGATTATTTACCTTTATCTTGTTGTGATGATCAAGTATTTTATAAATCCTAGATATAAGTCCCTTATCTGATATGTCATTGTCAAGTACTTTTTCCCAGTCGGTGGCTTCCCTTTTTTACCCTGTTAGAGAAGTTTTTGGATGTGCTTAGGGATTTGATTCTTAGAAGGTCCCATTCATCTATTTTATCTTCTCCTGGTTATAGATTATTCAGGATACTTGGAAGACTGTTTATGTTGTGAATTAGGACTTCTAGAGTTCTTCCAAGCTTTTCTTTAATAAAGTTTATAGTCCTTGGTTTTAGTCCTAGGTCCATGATCTAACTAGAGTTGGTTTTTGTATATGGAGTGAGGTGTAGATCTTGCTTGAGTCTTCTGCAGATAGTTTTCCAATTTTGCCAACAACATTTGTTAAAAATGCTGTCGTTTCCCCACTTAACTGATTTCATCTCCTTGTCAAAAATCAGTTGACCATAGGTAGATGGGCTGATTTCTGGGTTCTCAATTCTATTCCATTGATCTATGTGTCCGTCATTGTACCAGTACCATGCTATCTAAACCACCATGGAAGGGTAGTAGAATTTGAAATCAGAGAGTGAGATGCCTCCTACCCTTTTTCTATTTTTAAGGAGTACTTTGCTTATTTGGGGCTTCTTTCTATTAAAAAAAAAGAAACTGAGACTGCCTTTTCCATCTCGTTTAGCATTATCATATTCTAAACTGAGATTCTACACTGATTCTGATTCTACACTGATTAGAGCTAATATCTAATTTATACTTTAGTTTTGAAAAATGGATCACTATTTCCTTCACCTGCCTTGAATTCCTTGCCTTCACACACTTTCACTGATTGGTTTCTCTAGACATTTTTGTTTATCAATCAGGATTTTGTCCCTTTTATCTAGCCTTGACCCTCCTCTGTGATGGAGTCCTTCACTAGAATCCGAAGCCCTTCACTTCAGGTTGTAGTCAACCTGAAGGCAGGTATTTTACCAGCTGAATACTTACTTGTTTGTTAATTTCCAAAATATGCTTATTTTTAAATGTGAACTTATTTTGATACTAGTTCCTTGGTTAGATCTTTTCCTATATTCTGCTCCTGAAAATGATATGCTCACTCACTAACTGAAGATCTCGCTTTGCTTAAGCTAGCATTCATTTTCCAGCAGATCAATTGGGAGGCCCTGTTGTGTATTGAATAGGATTTTGTGATCTTTCCTTTGGAACTAGCTAACTCACATAATTGGGAAAATATGCTGAGTTTCTAATGGTTTTTAATTTCAGAATCATGTATATATTCAATCAATTTTATCATATTAGTTAATTATACTTTCATATGAGGCTAGCAATCACTTCTGCATTAAAGTTCTCTATATGTCATTCATTCCACTGGGTAGCTATTTTTTTTTTTTTGATGGGTAGCTATTTTTTTTTTAAATCTTTTCATTTTTTTTCTCTCCCGCCCCGTCCCTATCTTTTCATTCTTATAATACTAATTAAATAACTTGTGGCAATGAATGGCCCTGAATTTTTCCCAAGGAATATTCATTTATGTTTGGTGATATTTTTGATTTTCACAACCTGGAGAGGTTCTGATGATACCAAGCAAGCAAAGGTAACAAAGATTGCTTAGTCCCATACCATTTTCATGATCATTTGAAATATCTGTTAGAATCCATTGTTGCTATCACTGTACGGTGCCTTCCAACTTACAAGGTTTACCTTCTAGCAGCACAATATCAGACACCATTTCCCCCATGATCAATAGGGCTTCACTGGCTAATTTTCCGAAGTAAGCTACCAGGCTTCAGTTTTACTCTGTCCTATATAGTTGTAATGAATGGAAATTTACTGCCATCAGCAGCGTTTGATTTATGCTTCAGCAACCTATATCCAGTCTCTAGGAAGGATTTCTTTCTCTCCCTTTTTAATACTTCTCAACTCACCAGAATGCTAATATGTTGTACTTCTTTATTAGCTTTGTGTATCCTTTGACTGGTCTATTTTCTTTCTTTTTCTAAATAGAATCATCTTATCAATACTAGTAGTATTCTGCATGGTTCATTAGAAAGTTAATGTTTGTTCTTTGACATGGAAAAAGCTTTGGTTGATTAGAATACATTCACAAATTATTAAGAGGATGCAGAAACCAATTAAGTGCTCATTTGATATTGTCCACATAGGTTTACCTGGAGAAGACGGATACTCACGTCTGTCGGTGAGTGGGACAGCGACTTCTTCATTCCAGAGACATCGGGAGAGCCATGCCACTCAGGTAAATGGCCTCAGGTACCACTCTCTTTGTAATAACTGGGAAATCACATTATGAGCAAGATATTTCTTAAATATGATCAAGAACCGTTAAAATAATAAAAAATAAAACACTACAAAACTCAGCTGTTAACCTCTAAATTGACTGTTGAAACCTTCTAGTGACTGCTTGGGACAAAGATGTGGCAGTCAACTTCCATAAAGGTTACAATCTTGGAGGCCCTATGGGGAGTTCACCTCTGACCTTTTCTGGTCATTACGAGTTAAAATCAACTCAGTAATGGTCAGGGTTTTTGCTGGTTTGGTTTAAATGATCAAGGCCATATTTTCTTATTAAAAAGAAAATTCGGTTGTCCTCCCTTCTCCCCCATTGTTCTTTAATTTACCAATCAGCCTTTCTCCCATCATAGTTGGTTTTCATTTTATCAGTGTGTCTTTCTCATTGTTATCAATTGGTGCTGACTCATAGCTGAGCCGACCAGGGTTCTAAGGACGGAAATTGAACAAGATGAGACTACTCATCTCTGCCGCACAGAGTGGTTGATGCATTCAAACTGGCGAGAAGCATGGCCTTTAGGTTATCAGCAATGCTCTCTTCAGATCACACTACACCCTTCCCTTCCCTTTGTTCTACTTGCTTAAAAATTATTATCCTGAAGAAATTCCCAGATTTTGTAACATTTTGTAACATTGTGGACATAATGTACGTTGTGATACTTTAAAATCACAGCCGGATAAAGGTAAGTTGATAGCTTCCAAGTGATGTTGGTAGGTCTTTTCCCATATCCAACTTCATTAAGAATAAGACTCTACACGATAAAAACATTTCATGTAAGTCATGTGTTTGGAGAACCAGTGTTTTCATAGAATACCTTTATATCTCAGTTAAGCCATATTCTTGTTGTTAAGCAGATTCTGAATCATACAGAAATCATGTAGGACAAAGTAGAACTATCCCTTAAGGATCCCAAGGCTGAAGTAATTATGAAAGCTGATTGTCCCATCGTTCTTCTGTAGAGCTGATGGTACATTCAAACATTTGATTTTTCAATTAGCAATCTAGTGATTAACCTCCACAACATGAGTCATCTTTTGTTGCTGTTTTGTCCCATCAAGTCAGAATTAACTCATAGCTGACTGGTCTTCCAACAGGTTATAAATGGTATCGGAGGAGAATGTTAATCTTCCTCCAGCAGAGGAGCTGGTAGATTTGTTCCATGTGCCTTTGGGCTGGCAGCGCAACTCCTTACCCCTTATTAAGCCATCAGAGGTTCTTTTCTTAATCCAAATTCCATGTTGTTGTGTGGTATAGAGTTGGAACCAACTTTTAGCTGACTCTCTAATGGGTTTCAGAGGTAGTAAATCACATGGGAGGAGATTGTTCATCCTTCTTCTGTGGAGCAGCTGGTGGATTTGAATCCTATACCTTTGGGATTGCAATGCCAGTTCTTACCACTAGGCCACCAAACCTCCTTACCAAATTCCATATAATTGGAATTAAAGTATGGGATTTTTGTTACTGTTGAGTCAGAAATGACCCAGACCGGGACCTCCAGTGGATTTTCAGGGGCAGAGATTGCTCATCTATCTTCCATGGGATAGCTGGTGGATTTGAACGAAATGCCTTTCTTTGGGTGAGCGATGCGTCTTGAAGTATAATATCTGTCAGAGCTGAAACTGGACAAGAATGTCTTGTGTCTCAAAAATGTTCTGTCTTTCATAGTAATAGGAACATTTATGTGGCTCAAGTTAAACCTGCTCTGTGACAAGTTTCATTCTGATACAAGTTTCAGCATTCACAGGTTTTACTAACTGTAATGGGAACACTATAAAATTACAATGAGGACAGTTAAAAGAGTGTAGATATGTTTCAATGATTTCGTGTGTATACTTTAAGGTGTTTGGCTTTAAATATTTAATTAAAATAAAGAAGATTATTATATATGTATTTATACACATATATGTATATATGAATGTACACATATACACACACATATATATATGCACTTTTAAAGAAAAAATATTTGTATCCTGGAGTTTAATATTCTTTAATTTTTATTTTTAACTTCAAAACACTTTATAAAACATATCAAGAAGACTTTTCAAGTTGACATTCTTTTGGCAGTAAAGCACACAAACTCACAATATTAAAAATTTTATTATTGATACTGTCAAATATCATTGCATTAGCTATGTTATTTTACATGAAATTAGATTATAACTTATGCCATACATTGATATAAAAATCTAAAAAAAATAATTCAGGCAAAGATGTAGATGTTTTCATTAAATTACCAGTTTTAATATGAATATCTTGTCATATTTTCAATTCAGAGCTAAATAAATAACACTAAGGCATTGATGATGTAGTGAGATGTATCAATAATTTTATTGTTAAAAATAACTCTTGCATCATCTGCTGAAGTAATTTATACTGATATAGGTCCTGAAATAGAAAGAAAATGCTGATTGGTTGTAATAATAGATTCTAATAATAGACCTTAATCCTCAGCTTCCCCTATTCCTTAGAGATACATATACTTTACGTTTTAAGCATTACAGATGTTTTATATAAGATGGGGGACCTACTTGTAATGAACACAGGCTTGATTTTTATTGCAGGGTTGACTCCTGCATTTTATAACATAATGATAGACCATCTGACATCAGGAAATTCACTACAGTGTTGTTCATACAGAGGAAAGAAGGTACAAAAACAGGCATCTCTGTAACTTTTCCTCTAATCTTTCATAGATTTGGCTAAGATACCAAAAGAGATGGGAAAGGTCATCAGGAATAATTTCCCCTTCTTAGTTTTCAATGGGGGTTTGTTTTCAAATACAAACATCTCTCATGAAGGAGCAGCCTCCAGACATCTTGCAGTACATTTTTCCTTTAAGAAGATGGAAAATTATGCTCATTCTCTTTTATGCAAAAGTATGGAAATACTTATGGCAGGACACATTCCTCACTGTTGTGAAGCTATGAGAGCTATGTGAAGCTGTGCATTTAATACTCACATGTCTCTCAGAATTAATCTTTTGTGTGACATTTATAGAGAGAGGATGAATACATGCAAACATGAGAAGCTTTAGATCATTTTTTACTAATGCAATTAAATAAAAGTTCTATAAAATCTCATGAGGATGGATTGAGCATGTAGCAGTAAAAGAAAATGTTTACTGAAAAAAAAAATTGAGTCCCTGTTTATATTTTAATTAATTACATCTGTGATTGTTAAAAATGAAATTTCCCTAAGTAAGATAAAAGATATTGGCATTGGTATAAAGACAACAAGACATGTAATAAAATGCCAAATATAATTGGGGGAAATTATTGTGTTCAGTGTTTGAGTAGATGTCAGGATAATCTGCTGTATTCCTGAAAATAAATTTACCATTTTCTTCTGAAAGAGATGGAATAGTCATTGCATTAAAAAGAAAAAAATAAAGGAAAAATGTCTGGCCAAAAGTAAAAGTAAACATAATGAGTATTTGGAATTAGCAGTTATATATTTAAGCAACTCTTCCTGGGCAATGAAAATAGAATAGATCCTATTCCCCTCTCCTGCCTTGATATTTAAAGGTGAGATGAGGTGTTGGTGTGCACTGTCTAGTCAGTTCTAATCTATGGATACTGAATAAGACAGAATAAACTACCCTGTGCCAAGGCTGAAGGAGGCAGCAGTAGTGATGGGTGGAGTAAGGGTTAGACCCCACACTGCTGCGACTGGGCCTACACTGAAAGCTGCAGAGAGGGCGGCCATGGCCATGCAGTAAGCAAGAGGACGCAGGGATGGGGCCTCAGCTGCCGCAGGGCCCCATGGGCGGGACTGACACTGGGTCCCCACTAACGTCCATTTACAACCTCCAAGATCATGGACAAAGTGACATCATGCGTCTCTATTCCAGCAGAAAAACAAGAGCGGGGTCACCTCCCGAAACCCAACCTTGTTCTACATCCTTCCTGCCCAAATCTACCTGGCCTTTGTAGAAAAGCTTTCTCGTGTGAGGATGACGATGCACTCCACCTGGTCCTGAGGCGAGGTTGAGAACTAGGCACATTGTACAGTGGGGCGCCCAGGGTTCACGGATGACAGCCACATTGCCTGGGCACAGGACCCCTGCCCTGTGTGGGAGAAGAGCAGCTGTGTATATCTACTCTTCCTCTGGGTGCGGGACCGCAGCAGCAGATAGTGTCTGGCAGGAATGTTGCTCGCCTCTGCTTCACCTGCAGTCAGGACGCTGGATGCTCATGGAATGAGGCTACCATGTAAAAGCAGGCCTCATTCTCTGATGATCTACATTGACAACCTAGGCACCACAAGGCATCATGGCAGGCTCGTTATGTCATTGACAACAGTGGAGTGTGAGGTGGTAGAGGTGACTGGGGAGGCTGGCCACCCTATACTGTATTGCAACCCTAGGACCTCATATAGACACCGGGCACAGGCTCTTAGCATCTACCATGGTGAATGCTTCCAGAGATCAGCCCTCAACCATCAGCTTTGTGAGCCCCAGCATGGCTGCAAAGGTGTGTTTTCAGCCCCAGAAGATCCCACATAAATTTCAGTACCCAAGTGGCGAAGGTACTCCCACTGTTCAGCAGAACCCTCCATTAGACAGCTCACTCTGGCTGGAAGAGGAAGCTGAAACACCAATGGAATCAAGGCTCTTATACGAATGCCCAACTAATAAGAAACAAAGGGTCAACCTCGGCATCTAACTCAACCAGGTCCCCTTGCTGGCCGCTTACTGGTCCCATCCCTGAGACCCTGATATGGCTTCTGTGGAGAAAGAGGGCTTGGTTGGGTGCTTGTTTAAGTGTGGAATCAAGAGGGAGTGTGAGCAGATTAATCTCCATCTGTTTACAGATAAAGATACCCTGAGCCACATGCAGGGAGAATGTTCAAGCTCTGGCGGGAGCCCTGGCCACTTCAAGACTAATTGACCTAGGACCTGACTTTCCATAGAAGGGGTGGGGACCCGAGCCAAGAGAACCAGA